TATAGCCCCTTGGTCTTAGGTTCGAGTGGTGGGGAAGGCGAAAGAAATCCCTTAAGGGGGGGGGGGCCGGGGGGGGGGAGATATTCCTAGTGAGTCACGAAGAGTGGGATGAGTTCCCGGCCGTGGCCTCCGGTAAGAGGGGCCGTGACAATAAAAAGGCGCCTTAAATGTCATGACCCAATCTGCACCGTGGGCACGGCTGGGCGGGCTCGCCCCAGGCCCACTATTGTGAATACTCTACTCAGTACTGTCCCCACCCTTAAGGGATTTCTTTCGCCTCCCCCACCACTCGAACCCAAGACCAAGGGGCTATAGTCAATTGGGAAGCATGGTGAGTACCATCAGGCTAGCTAAAATGTAACAACTGCTTTTTTACTCATATACTCATAAAATACATATATATAAATACATGTATTATAACATAAATAAATGGGCCCAAAATTTCTTTTATTAAATGTACATATACTTTACACAAATATAAAGTATATATATACAAAAGCTCTCAAAAACGGGTGATAGTGTAACTATTTCTCTTCGCTTGCCGACGTCCATCCGATTGCACACACCTAGATCCTGCAAAAACACATGGAAACAACAGGGTGAGCATAAAAAGGCTCAGTAAGCAAATTCAACTCAACTATCCCCGTAACTCTTTCTCTAATCTTTTCCTTACATTACTCTCTCGTTAAATCTGTTTCTCTTTACATAGCTCTTTTTCTGTTAATTCTTTCTGAATGTCACAGCCACTTCTGCACCGTGGCGCGGCTGGAACCTCACGTTCCATCTGTACCGATACTCATTCAAATGTCATGGCCCCATATGACCGAAGCGCGGCCGGAAGACACAAAGCTCCCACTACTCGTGACCTTTTCTCATTTCTGTTTCTGTTTCTCATACTCTTCTCTATAAGTTCTGTTTTCATCACGGCCTCTTCTGACCGGAGGCACGCACGCCGAGAACTCTCCCGCTCTACGTGACTCTATCATTTCTCTACCGATCGGATTCGGTCATGATGGATTCGAACCTGGCCATGGGAGTGTATAAATTCTCTCTCTGAATGTCACGACCACTTCTACACCGGTGGCACGACGTGGAACTCCATGTTCCACTTTCGTGACGGTCATGGCCTCTTCTAACCGAAGGCATGGTTGGGAATACAAAGCACCCACTCTCGTGACTTACTCATACTCACGGGTTCCCCATCGCACAACCTACTCTATTCTCTTCTTTAAGACTTTTCTCTCTTTTATTCTTAGTGCCAATCTCTCTTTCTCTTACTATTAGAGTGTTCTCATTCTCAATATCTTCTACTTTCTTTCTCAAGCTATTACACTAGTGTAGCTTATCTTAGAGTAGTCTATTCACAAAGTTCTACTCTTTCTCAAACTATTACTCAAATGTAGATTAATGCATATGGAGGTTTATGCTCATTAATGCACTTATGAAATGCAAATAGCAATGTAGCAAGAATTAAGGTTGACTAATCACTCATACTTCTCTTAGGCATTTTATCAAACAACTCATGTGTATACAAAAACTCTATTTTAACAAGAGCTCTATTTCTTTCCTAACCATCCAAAATTGGAAGTAAACTCCTTCATGGGCATAATTCCTACCATAGAAGAACACTCCCAAAAATACCAATCTCATCTAACTTCATCTCAACTCATCACACATCCACACTTCTTATAAAGGAAAAGTATCAACAAAATCAACATGAATACTTATTTCAATTAATTTCTCTACAAACATCATATATCTCTACTAATCTCTCAACAAGCTTCATATATATCAAAGCTAAATAATCTCTACTCAAATGATTTCTTAAACTTTAGCTTGAGTTGGATTTTACTTACTTGTGATGGAGTGATTCCACTAGCACTTCTCTTTACCTTTGATAACTTGTCTTTTTTCTACAATTTTAACCAACCATGCTATAAGACTTCACTTCATATAAAGGTAAAATTAACATCTAAAGCAAGAATCCTTACCTTAGGATGTTTTAGATTACCTTCCCACTTCAAACTACTCAAAAAGCCCTCTTGAATCCTCGCAAGATTGAAGGAAAACTTGAGAGGAATGGAGAATGAAGGAGGCGGTGGAAGAAGAATGAATGAAGGGTTCGCCAAGCTTCAACCCTTTTTAGCTCAAAATATCCTCATTCATTCCCATAATGCCCTTGCTCTTTCTTGAAAATTCCACCTATATCCTTTGATTCATTACAATCACACCCCCACACTAACATATTCTCCATGAAATTTCCTTGCATTTTACTCTCCACTTTTCCTACTACTTAGGGTTAGAATGGTCAAATTGCCCTTAGGGAAAAATATCTAAAAACTTGAACACAAAACTCAGCCGTCTCTTCGCCGCGGCGAAGCCTGCAACCCCAAAATTCGCCAAGTCTTCATAATTTTCAGGGCAAACTCTTAACCAAATAAACTCATCAATCCAACTAAGGGCCAACCAACCGAAAATGACAACATGCAAGCTCCAATGAGGACAAATCAATAAGCATTCAAGCCAATCATCAAATCTTAACTATGTGCCTCAAGTGGGGCGTTACACTCTTTTTGTTGATTTTTGGATTGATTTTGTTGTTTGATTTGTGGGTTTTACAATTATCATCTTTCTTTAGGATGCTCTCATCAAATGCTTTTTTTGCTATAGATGGTGGTCAATTCTACTTGCAACAAATGGATTTGTGTCACAAGACCTTTATGATCTTCATGGCTTCTTCAATGCTTCAATTAAGTTGCCTTTAGATTATACTGTTGGAGTTGTTACTTTCTATATAAGTTCTTTTCTCAACATTGTTAATTTTTTTTTTATTTCTAAAATAATAACAATAAAAATAATTCATTTTCGCTTTTCAACAATCAAAATCTGTTTTTTCCTTTGGCTCTGTAAGTCTCTTGCTTAAAAGTTCACATTTTTCAATAAAGTTTCTCTTTCTCTTATTGATTTATAGACTTATCAATAATACTCAATGGGTTATCTTGCAATTTTTTTTTGCTTTTCTTAACAAAGTTTTAAACTTTGGTTGCAGATGTCAAATGATGACATATTTGAGATGAACCAAGATGCCATAGACTTTGAGTTCAATTTGTGGATATTTTATTTATTGATTTTTAATTATCAATTCAATGTAAAATAAACTTTAATATAGAAAATATATATTTAAAACACAAAAAAACCAATAATAATGTAAAAAAAATATAATAAACATACTCGCGCAACGCAACTTGAAAATGAATATAAGTTATAGAAATTGCGGAAGGTCAATATAAATTTTGAGTTTAAATAATTGATCTCGATAATATTCAGGTGATATTAAATATCATATACAATTCACTACAGAATACTGACATCGAATATCAAAGACATGTTTGCAAAAATAATATCAATTGTACAAGGTGATGATCTTGAAAATATAATTAGACCATATAATATTAAGGTGATCTTCTCAAATTGGATGAATGATTTAACGACATCTATCCATAATTGATATTAATAATTATACAGGTGCAATTATTAATTTTATCTTAACACAATTTTGTATATATATACAATTTATATTTACTTTAAAATTTGTATAATTTAACAATTATTATGTCTTAATCTAATTAGTTTATTTTGTTAGAATAAATTTGTTTATAATATATTTTAAAAACATTAAATAAACATATTGTGCAATACGCAGACCCTATGTCTAGTTATATACAGTAAAACTTCTTTATAGTGATACTCTATATAAGAATAAACTCTACATAGTCATAAAAAATTATAGTCCCAATCTGGGATAGTTATAAATAAGAATAAACTCTACATTGTAATAAGTTATAATTTTTTTAATTCCTGCCTTAAGGAAAGTTGCCTCTACATAGTAATAATTATCTGTATATTACAAAAAAAAAAAAATAATGTTATGTAAAATTAAAGGTTTAAAATGAAATAAAATATTTATTTAAAATTGTTTGGGACAATGATTTATACTTTAGAGTTGTTATCATATCTTTTACCTTATGAGTACGTAATAGCTCATTAGCATGGATACCTTCTTGTTGAAGCCAAAATATTTTTAGTTTCTCAAGCATGTTTAGAGCTTCATGATACAAGATTTTTTGTATTTCCGTACTATTATCCTTAGGATTATTTCCATTCTCTTCTTGTCTAATTGCAATAATGATTTCTCCTTTGATTAAAACATACACGATTTGTTGCTCATTTGGATAATCGAAGAAGACATTAATATCTATTCAATTAATGTAGTGAAGTTGTCGAATCTGATCACTCAATTCTATAGTGACTATTTTATTCTCCCCATCCACTTCATTTCTAACTTATAATTCATTGACATTAGTGGTCCTAATTTTGCATTGTTTAAAACCATTGACAATTGTTTGTGGTTTCACATCAATTGACCATGCATCAACTGTATTTACAGTTCCATCAATGACACTTATTTTTACTGGTTCTAAGAAACGATCTTTTATCTGTTTCAAAAGCAGGCAATTGAAGCGCTGAATTGAAATCCTAATATTACTAAAATATGAATTGAAATCCTAATACTGTACTACTAAAACATGAATTATAAATTTAAAAATCAAAATTGTAATTTTTGTAACTACATTTCCATTAAGTTATAACCTCTTTATAATAATAAAATTAGTTAGTCCTACCATTATGATTATAATGAGGTTTTATATTTTTCAATAATAACGTGTGCGTTTCAAATAGTTTTTATACTTTAATGTTTTTTAGAAGTATTTTTACAAGAGTTTAATGATATTCCCTTTTTTTTTTTTTTTTTTTCATAATTGAAGTATATAATATTTTTCAAATTATTGTGGGTGCCTGACTGGGAAATCAGAAATGAAATGAACAACGGGTCGGGTTGAACTGGGCCGGGGAGAAAAAATTTCAATCCGAAAACAGAAGCTTTACCCTCACTGTCTCAAGTGTCGAGTTCGATACTCGATTCACCTTCACGCTCCTCCATGGCTTTGCTCGGCGACGACGGACGCGGTTACGAGTTGGCTCGGAAGTTGGAGGCATGCGGCGTGTGGCACACCTGGCTCGGCGACACTTACTATTCCTCTTTCGTTCACTCCCTCTCTTCGCCTGCCACGTGGGAGTCCTTCATGCGAGCCGACCACACCAAATCTAAGTCTCAGATCCATCTCCAACTCCGCGCACGCGCTCTATTGTTCGACAAAGCCGCCATCTCTCTGTTTCTTCCAAATGATGATCCTTCTTCTGCTTCCGTCTCGAAGCTCAATCCAAACTGTGAGTCTCTGTTTCTTCACTTGTTTCAGTCGTGAATTTTGTAACCGGTTTCCTTGTGTTTAGATTTGCAGTTGCACGGCGATGACTTGTACTTCACTCTGGAAAATAATTCGCAAGACGGGGTTCAAATGCGAGAAACTATTGGTTCGTCAAATACTGTGCCGTCCAAGGTTTGATAACCTAATTATATTTGTTACATTATTATTCTAGTGTTAGGCTAATTTTTATTATTGGTCTGGTATCCATCACATACAAATGTTTTCCTGAATTTGTGATGTAATATATGTGTTCTCATTAAACTATAGGATTACAGTACTAGAATGAACATATGGAGTTATTTTTGTGTTAATTTTTGCTAAAAATGTTGATTGGGTTTGCAGAATCAGTTGAAATCAGCTTATAATACTGGAACAAGATATGATGAATCCCAATATGATATGTTGCCCCAGAGATTTCGGAGTGACGAATTGCCGGAAACATGGTATGATCGGTTTATTGAGAAGTATAAACTTAGTAGACCATATAAGGTATTGCTGGGGCAACGAGAGTTGGATAAACGTACCCCTGAGGGGATGTCTGATTACCTTAGAGTTGTTCAGAAACATAAGAGAAGGCGTGTACCATTTCTGGAGGATCAGTGCACAGGCTCTGGAAATTCTGTCTCGGAGAGTACATCCAGCATGCTGTCAGATTCTGTTTCAGATTTTGGTAACTCGGTTGATGGAGACATTTTTTTACCTGAAGCAATGTTTTTAATGAATAGTGTGCCTCATTTTGCAGTCCCGGCAATTAATAGAGAGAAAATTAACCTAAAAGTAGAGTTGAATGGGATTCTTGATACCTTGCCTCAGGTTATGACCAGGAGTCCTGTTATGATTGAGAGGCTTGGTATACAGCCTGAGTACCTTGGCATGGAACAAGGAGGCAACTTTCATCGTGGAAAAAATGTTTCTGAAGGGAATAATAAATGTCTTTCTGAAGAGCAAGCATCACAGGTGTCTCAAAAGGTAATAGCCCGCCTACTGACTGTTTCGGGATTTGATGGTGCTACTAAAGTCTCGTTGGAAGTGTTTTCTCAATTGCTTGGATGTCAAATTCGTAAATTAGGCGTTACCTTGAAAGTTCTTTCTGATGGTTACAGACAACATTGTTCTGCCATTGAACTAATTAGGATGTTTCTTGAAGTAGCTGGATATAGGTAAGTTTGAAGTTCTTTTTGTATTAAATTTGTGGTATTGGTTAAACTTTGTTGCTTTTTTGCCTTCCAGAGAAGTGTTATCCACACGTGTTTCTTCTGTTTAGTAAAATAATATATTTGCATGTATTGTACATTCAAATGGGCTACTGCCATTTGACTGTTATATGACTAAATTTTGGAAAATAACGAACAGTTATTATCGTAATTATTTCATTAGTAAATGAAATAGTTAACTAAAATTTCTATCAGTTTTGCGTGGGCTTGTAATTGCATCATTATTTTCTGCTGGCTTGGTTAAATGGCATAGTGCTTGTTCTGTTGTGTCCATTATCTAACATATTTCTCTTTTTTACTCACTAGAACTTTTGAGGTTTTTACGGAGCTTGTTAAGGAAGGTAGTAGGAATACAGTGCCACAAACTCAGCAACAAGTACATGGAATGCAGCCACAATCACAGGCGCAGCAACAGAGTACCCTTAGACTACCCCAGCAGGTATGTTCTTCTGCATGGTTTCTTGTATGAGTTGGATTTAACTAAGGGATTCTTTAGGAAGTCCAGATTCATGTCTAGCTGTTCTAATCTTTTAACCAAATTATCCCCCATCCAACTCCTGAAATATCAGAGTAACAATATTTGTCGCTTCCCCTCAAGCAGTTCTAAGAGGAGAACATTAAGGGGCGTTTGGTGTAACTCATTTGATCGAACTAATTTTTTTCGTATTGGATTGGAGTGAATTGAATAAGGGCTATGAATAGGGTGATTGTCATTGGAACCAATAGAAAATAATTAGGGGTAAGGAAAATTAAATTAAAATTCTTAATTAAAGAAAAGATACAATACGCAAAGCACTTACTGTTGTCCTATTTATACAGTTGGACCAATCCTATTTAGACTGAAAACTATTCTAATAAATATTTATTAAATAGATCCTAAATAAAGATGGAAAAACGAAATCCTAATTTAACTTGATTTAACTTGGATGCTCCTGCTCAGGGGGGCAGTTCTTTTTTCTTTTCAAATTGATACAGCTTTAATGCAGTTCATTTGCCAAAATTGGAGCCTAACAGCGACAAAAAAAATAAAATAAATAATGCCTTCCCTTCCATTAAATACGCTAGTGCATCCAACCAAGCACACCTTGAAAGTTACCTGCGTGAAAGCTCTCTTTTTTTTTGTTTTTGTTTTCTGAGCACAAACCGATGTGGGATTTATGAGTATTATCACGGAAATGATTATCGATGTCTGAAACGCTTTTTTCTTTCTATTGTGTTTTTTTTTTGGCGAAAAAGCTTAGTATGGTATATCTTTCATTGAAATTGGGGAAATTCTGTAAGTTGTTGTACATGAGGACTGTTATGTTGAATCATGATTGTCTGATGTTGGGGGTTAATAGTGAATTTTGAGGAGAGTTAATACCGTTGTATGTTAGCTTACACTATAGATAACGCAGTCCTAATGTTGAATTTTCGATATGTGCATTATTGGAAATTTCCCACTAAAATTTTATTTTGAAGCTACAGATACCACGACAAATGAATCAGCAAATACCAGCAGGTGGTTCAACCTCAAAATTGGCTTTACAGCTGCAGCAGCAACACTTGGAGGAGGAGGGGAAACGCCAACCAACCAATACTCACCCTGGCATGGATTAGGATTAAAGACCGACCACGGTAACAGCCAAGGTGGAGAACCTCAGAATCGGAAATGGAGGCAAACCCTTAAATGCAGTTAATCCCAGGCAATCTCAAATGCAGTTCCGGCAAACACAACTGTCAAATCTCATTCAAAATCTAGCAATCAGTGAGGAGAAGTTGGCGTTCTGTTCAAAATTCCTCAATTGCAGACTCCTCAAGTGCAGGCACCTCAAGTGCAGGCACTCAAATGCAGACCCTCAAGTGCAGCAACTCAGGCGCAGACCCGTTCAACTAGGGCACAGACAAGCTCCAATGCATGACACCTCAATGCCACGTACCCATCCACACTGCTCCCACAGCAGACACCTCAATGCATTACAACCTCAATGCAGACCCACCCAAGTGCAGAGACACAGTAAGAATAAAAAGAAATCTGAATTACTTACAATTCTGGAAAAAAAAAAAAAAGAGAAAAGAAAGTTAATTAGAGCTGATTAAAGTGATCATTCTGAATCAAGTTGTGTGCATGCAGGAATATGGGCATGTTAGGGCTCCTCAGTGAAGGTTGATGGTTTCCAGGAATTGATGTGGGGGAGCTGTTGCATCCAAAAACTGATTCAGAGGAGAAGTAAGCTGATGATTACCCCGATATAAATAGGTGGGGATTTATTGGCGTTGTCGTCAACTCAGGCTATTTTAGCCACATGTAGTTTTATTGCAATTGTTTGCTTCTTTGTTTGTAAAGGAAAAAAAGATGTTGAATCTGTAGAAAATATAATTTTAAATATATAATTTCATGTATAGTTGATGCTCAAGAAACTCTTCTGGCAGAGCTAGTAAACAAGCTAGAAGACCCCTAGAGCCCATTTCTGAGGTAGACAACTGACAATGTAGGAATCCTTGGTGCATTTTGTAGCGTAAGCTGTCATGCATATATACTCTACTTGAAGCTAGTTTATCTGGTGTTTCTAGAGGGCATTAGTCTTCTGTCTTAGAGAATTTCTTATCTTATCATTGTTGCCTTTTTTGGTTCCAACTCCGGATTAGGATCGTTCTACAGGTACTGTTAATGTAGGCACTGTATAGACAAGGAAACACTTAAGACGATTCATATCTTATGGTGGTGTTTAGTATCCGCAGATTGTGCGCTGAGTTAACAACGAGGGCCATGATATAGCTTTGGGGATCAATGTTGGTGTCATGATATAAGGGGATTGGGGACGTGGCCATAGTCAATGGATCTTGTGTCTGATTTTGGTATCACGATAGTCTGAACTTTTGATTTTGCCTTCCTGCAATTGAGATCAGCTTGTCAGATGAACGAAAAAGATATATGAGCTTGTACTAGGATCTTTGTTCTAGCTTTTGTGGACATAACAGATGCCAAATCCTAATATGCAGATTGTGATTTTGAGGTAGGATTAGAGTCTTCATCCATGGCTTACCATCATTTGGTACATAATCCCATTCGAGAGTTGGTCCCAAAATGCTGGAAGGTCCATGGGTTTCCTTCAATCTGTTGCAACATTCATCTCTCCCAGAGGTCCCATTTTATCCTCTTTAAATTTAGTGTAGTTACATTGCTGTGAAGACGACTGTTTCCGCAATAAGGTTTCCTTGTCCCCCAACTTGGAGGGTAATCCAGGAACAAAAGTGAGCTACAACGTCAAAACGTTGGGTTTTTATTATCACCCCCCCCTGAGGGATCAGCTAAACTTAGGAAAACCTAGGGTTATGAGAAAGTATTAAAAAACCCCTTCCGTCAGTTAATTGTTAGGGTTCCTTCATTACCTATAATAAAGGCTATTTACCTTTCTCATTATTACTGTTAGAGTTTCTTTGATCAAATATAATAAAATAGTGTCTTAGATGACAATCCCACAAGATTAAAAACAATCACCATAGGTCATCAATAGACATCAAGATATAAGAGAAAAAAATAAAGGAGACAGTCGATTATAAGGTTCAGCAACCAAGGCCTACGTCCACTCTCAGGTAAGGGAGTATTTCATTGAATCCACCGAGCATCCTGCGTCCTGAAGGCGAGCTCTTTAGATTACAAGATCTATCGATAACACATGAGCCGTGCCTCAAACTACCCCCAGCGGCACTCGGAAAGCAGGAGTCGCGCCGGAATACCCCACGAACCGGTGAGTAGTCGACAAGGAGGTTAATCGATAAACACTACCCCCATTGACTAAGGAAGCGGGACATCAGAGCTCCTTTCTCACTCTCTGTTAACCAAGGGTGAGTTTTTAAACAATCATAGGGTCTTAGCATCAGCTTCCACCTGTAATCAAGCTTCTTTCTAGTCGTAGGATGAAGATCAAGAAGAATCTTAACTGAATGGTGCAACATTGCAAAAGAGAGAGAGCAACTGAATTTGTTTTTGCTGTAGGTGAATTAATGCTACGAAGACGAGCGAAAAGTGGTCCTCCATTCTCCAAAACAACAACATTTCAATAAGCCAGAATATTTGACTTTTCAAACATTAAAAACTTGTTGACTTGGCTAGTGACTTGACAAAGAAGTGTCAAACTTATCATAATTCTCCACCTTGGTACTTGCTTTGACATACTAGAAAACTAACCCTTGCCTTGGAATCCTTGATGATTATCATTCAACATGTAATAGACTCATAAAGAGCCTATGTTTATCAGTACTAACTGGCTTTGTAAGCATGTCTGTTGGAATTTTACATCCAGCCACCTTTTCCACTCTTATCTCACCATTCTCAATAAGTTCTTGAATGAAGTGAAGACGTACATCTATGTGTTTAGTACGTTCATGGAAAACTTGATTCTTACACAATGAACAACACTCTGGCTATCACTTTGTATCACCATCAGCTTCTGAACAATTCCCAGTTCACCTACAAGACCCATCAACCACCTTGCTTCTTTTGCAGTTTCAGTACTGGCTACATATTTTGATTTCGTAGAGGATAAAGTCACCATATTCTGAAGTTTAGATTTTCAACTCACCACATTTCCCCAAACCAAGAATACATATCCAGTAGTGGATTTTTTTCTGTCTACATCTCCTACATAATCAGCATCTTTAAACCCATCTACACAAGCTTGATTCAATTGACTTCTCTTGTATTTAATACCAACAGAAGTTGTCTACTTCACACATCTCAGTATCCACTTCAAGGCATCCTAATGAACCGTCCCAGGATCACTCATAAATTTGCTTATAAGGCTAATTGCATAAGCTAAATCTGGCCTGGTGCATATCATCAGATACATCAAACTTCCCAGAGCATTAACATAAGACACAGAAGACATCTTCAATTTTTCTTCTTCTGATTGTGGACTTTGATCATGTGATAGCTTGCAATGTTGCCCAAGTGGTGTCTGAATAGCCTTGGACTCTCCCATGTTAAACTTTTGTAGTATTTTTTCAGCATATTCTTGTCGAGACAACTTCAAGCTCCCATTAACTCAACTTTTGATTATTGAAATACCAAGAATCTTTTGAGCCTGACCCAACTCTTTCATTTCAAAATTGGTATTTAACATCTTCTTCAGTTGAGTTAACTCAGACTTGTCATGGCAGATAATAAGTATATCATCCACATACAAAAGCAAATAAACATGAGTCGTATCTGAAGTTTTTTTAAAGTAAAGACAACTATCATAATTGCATCTAAGAAAACCAATTTCAAGCATAAATGAATCAAACTTCTTATACCATTGATGTGGTGGTTGTTTAAGACCATATAAATTTTTTTTAAGTAAACAAACTTTACCTTTATTGCCTTTTTCGTTATAACCTTTAGGTTACTCCATCAGAATCCTTTCTTCCAGATCACCATGTAAAAACACTGTCTTAAAATCCAATTGTTCCAGCTCAAGATCATATTGAACAACTAGTGACAATGTCACTCTTATGGAAGAATGCTTGACTACAGGAGAGAAGATTTCATTGTAGTCTATACCCTCAACTTGAGTAAATCCCTTTGCCATTAAACGAGTCTTGAATCTTGGAGGCTTATAAGAAGTCATTCCTGGTTTCCTTTTAAAAATCCACTTACATCTAACCACTCTGCTATTATTGGGTTTATCCACCAGTGTCCAGGTTCCATTCTTCAACAAAGAGTTAAACTCTTCATCAATAGCCTTTTTCCACTGAAGTTTATCCCTTTCGGTTACAGCTTCTTGATATGTCTTAGCTTCATCATTTAAATCTTCTTCAACTTGCAATGCATAAGCAACAAGATCTGCATATCCAAACCTATTTGGAGGCCTAATCACCCTCCTAACCTGATCTTTGGCTAAATGATAATCTCCTAGTTTTGATTCACTTCCCATGGGTTCATCTTCAAGATTTTCAACTTGTTCATCTTCTGTCTCATGTGGAATTTTAGTATCAATTGCTCCACCTTGGTCTGAATTCTGCCCAGATTGAAAAGTTGACAACTCTAATTCTAATTCTAATTTATCAGCCTCAGATAACATTCCCTCTGAACTCTACATCTCTTTCGCAAGCCCTGGTAACACATCCTCTCTGAATATCACATCTCTGCTTATAATGCACTTTTTATCCTCAAAATTCCAAAGTTTGAAGCCTTTAACACCTTTTGGATATCCCAAAAAAATGTATTTCATAGCCCTCGATTTAAGTTTATCATCCTTAATATGAGAATATGATAAACAGCCAAAAACTTTAAGATTGTCCAGTTTAATTGAGTGTCCAGTAAACTTCTTCAAAGGAACCTTAGAGTCTATTGCTAAGGATGATGTTCTGTTAATGAGGTAGACTGCATTGTGTATCGTTTCAGCCCAAAACTTCACTGGTAATTTTGAACTTGAAAGCATGCTTCTAACCTTTTCCAAAATAGTCATATTCATTCTTTCACATAAGCCATTTTGTTGTGGTGTATGCCTCACTGTCTTGCGCCTCACTGTCTTGCGCCTCACTATACCATTTAACTTGCAGAAATCATTAAACGCTTGATTAACAAATTCTAAACCATTATCAGTTTTGAGCGTCTTCAATTTCTTCCCAGTTTG